CTCTCTCATCTTTTTAAGTGGGAGAACTTGCACAATTGGTGGCTGACTAAATACTTTTTTGCCCCACTGTATGTATGAATGGGCATGCTTAAATCACATATTCAAACAAACCAACAAACCCTTTTCTAAGACACTCATCAAATAGTCACCATGCCCACTCTTCATTAGGTTTCCACATGTACTCTTTTCTCACTGTTACTCATTTATTCATGCCACCTTACGGAGTAATTTCCCCTGCTCTATCATGCCAATTCAGAATACTGCATAATTTCCCCCCAAACTCTTATCCCATCAACTAAGAGGTATATGCAGTGTACTGACAGATGCAAGATACTCCAATTAACACTCCAATAATGTTTTAAGGAGTAAATCTAAATCCAGCCAGAGGCATTAGATATTTAAGACTGACCACTGTTGAACTTCATTAGGGTAACCTTGCGTGTCATGTCATTCGTCTTGTCATATTTTACAACAGGATTATAAAGCAAAGAATCAAGAAGGTTCTGATGTTAACAGAGTGCCCTCTACTGACTATAAATAAAATAAAAGTATTGCAGTCATGTCTCCTCTGAATCAAGCTTGTATCCTAGTGACTAAGTGGATATGTCCATGGAGTTTTCTTGGTAACATACAAAAATAGTTTATCTGTGTCTTCTTCCAGGATTTCTCTTTTACTTCCCTATCTGGTATACAGCTATGGTATTCTATGGTGACTTCCCATCTGAGAAGTAATTAGGTCTGACCCTGTTTAGATTTTTGAGGTCAAAGTTGGCTAAGCGCTGCCAACTAGCTAGACATAAACAGGATACCCTAGGGCAAGTCTCACAGTCCATGAGAGAACATCAAAATGCTTTCAGAGAAGTTCCACAGCAAATTAGGTTCCTTTTTTCTTCTGCCCATTAATCTACCTGGATCACTCTGCTTTGAGCCACAGAACACTGCAATTCTCTGTCTGCAAACTTGGGTCAGAAAAGATTATTTGGGGTCTTTGCAGTTTATTGCACAGTGCCTGCAAAAGTTCCAGGCCCAATAAAATGTATACCCCAGACACCTGGGTTTGCAAGTAAAGTTGAGATTCCACTGTCATGCCAACACAGCTAAATTTCACTGTGCCAAGCTGAGATGTCTTGGACAGCTGCAGATAAATGAATGATGCTGAGGGCTTGGAAGGATACCTGTGGATCTTCATGATAGGTGAGTAGCTGATGCCACTTTGTGGCCAAATCTTTTAGTCTTAATGCCACTTCAAGGAATAGCAAGGTTTCTACTGAAGAAATCAAAAAGCTGAACTGTGAAAAAAAGGAGGGAGAAGAGAATATATGTAAAATGAAATATCGCTTTTCCAAAATTGAATAGTAAGTTATACCTTCCAGAATCCAAAACAATCACATTTCCAAATGCAAGATAAACAAACAAACAACTATCATAGTCTTTCACTCATTTTACAAAGCTGGCTTGCCAACAGCTCCTTGCCTAGTCATGAATAAAGTATTGTTTCTTAAATTAAGAGCACCAAACCCAGCTTCACTGGCCCAACCAGGGGACTCCAGCCAGCTTATTGGTTACCTTCTACAGAGTATCTTACTTTGGACACATTATGCGAAGACCCAGCTCTCTGGAGAAGACTCTAATGCTGGGAAAGGCGGAAAAGAGGACAACCAGCAGCAAGGTGGATTGACTCAGTTACAGTGGTGATGAGTGCACAGATGGGAGATTTGAAAGAACAGGTTAGGGATAGATCATCATGGAAAAAAATCTATAATTGTGGTCATTAGGAGTCGAAAATGACTTGATGGCACATAATCGATCAATCTAGAGAGTGCAATGTATGATTTCATCAATCTCTTATGCATTTGCCTAGCCAGTAAGTGCAATGAAGTTCATCACTACTACTTTCCCCCCTTAAGAGAAATGCACAGCAGCAAAGGTTTCCATGTTATGTGCAGAAATGAGAATAAGGAGACAATAAGCTCCAGAGGAAGGAAGTTTAGACAAGTAGATCCAGAAGACATTTTATTTGCAAGAGTGAATGCCTCTGTCTTTTTGGCCCAACCACACCTCTCAAGTTTCACAATGATACATTTTGGTCTTGGGGTAAGAGAACAATAATTCTTTAACTACATTTTTGACTGCTGTGTCCCTTGTAAGGGAATGAGCTATTTGTTATTGGTTGTGCAACATATATGTCATACTTGTCAGTTATTTCAGCTTTCCTTACTCCTTTCCACCAAGATTACAATACCACTCTCAGGCCTTGCATCTAGAAAATGTTCTCTCCACCAGCCCTCAACCTCTAACCTAGAAATGTGGCTCATATTGTTCATCTGACTTTCCTCATGCCTCCTCTACCTTGCAGTTTTGGCTTTTTTTAGATTTTGTTTATTCTGCCTTAATTATTTTTATAAATAACTCAAGGTGTTGAACATACCTAATACTCCTTCCTCCTCCTATTTTCCTCACAACCACCACCCTGTGAGGTGAGTTGGGCTGAGAGAGAGTGACTGGTCCAAAGTCACCCAGCCGGTTTCCATACCTAAGGCAGGACTAGAACTCACCATCTCCTGGTTTCTAGTCTGGTGCCTTAACCACTAGACCAAACTGGAAAACATTTAGGGGCACCAACCTTATGTATTCAGTTTCACCTGGTCAGCACAGAGGAGAAACTTCTGGAGGTGTTCAGAACATTTGATTGAAGAACTCTGGTTTGTCTTAAGGCACTGCTCAAATGCAGTAAATGATTCAGCACAGTCTTGGCGAATCTTCTGAATAATTGGGCTATAATAAAAGTCCCACAGATTTATAAATAGGAAAAAATGGACAGACAACAGGGCAGGAACTTAGCAAAAATGATGGAATATATTGTTCTGACAGCTAGCAAGTTGCAATAGCTAAACACAGAAGACAAGGTACCTTCTGCTCCAACATCACTTCAGCTGTTAATTCACTGAGCAATTTTAGAGAAGCTAATATATATCATCCCCATATCTATAAAATGGGGATAACAACATTCAAGAACTTAAATGTGAAGTCTACAATGCATCATGAACAAAAAATGTTTTAAATCATAGGCATCTGAGGTTAGTCATAGCAATGGAAAATGTCACAATGCAAACCCTGCCTGTAAGTACTTGGGTCCTGATGTTGGATACAGATACTAAAATTGCAGGGCTTGCATCATGATGTCAAGATGTGTATTTTAGCATTCCCTCCACACCTTCCAGGGATATTGTGCTTTTAACAGTCTATATAAAGGCTTATTAAAACAACTGGAAATGCAGACACTTCCCCCCCAAGCAATTCCCTTTTCCTATTCTGTCCACAAACCCTCCTTTAAAGATTTTCTTCCAAATCTCATCATGATGTTCCCTGACCTAATGTAGCTCTCCCAGATTTTCTTGTAACTCATCACAATAGATTTGATCTTTCTTCTGCTGATACTTTACTAGGGCTGTGCAGAGATCCAGATTCAAACAGATGAATGCAATTTAAAGGGCGTATGGAATATCCCAAACTCCATTTTTCCCTGCAGTCATGTAGTTGTCCCCACAGCAGACACACAATCATGTTTGATTCAAGTGATATGTGCACCCACAAGGGCACTCCGGATGACATTTTGCTCTTCAAATTCAGACCTCTGCACAGCCTTATACTAGTCATTGAACTGTTCACTGAAAATCTTTCTACCTGCCAACGTACTGTTACTATGCAGAAGGTTGTAAACAAACGTGACTCCCTTCCTATTCCATCATCATCACTTTATAGAGCAGTGATCTACATAAGAGCACTAGCAACCAGTGGAAGATAAGAGAAAGAAAGTAGACCTTAGTTTTTTTCTCTGCCTGGGGAAATCAGGAATAAGGAGGGAAAAAAAAAACGTTCTCCAGTCACAAGTCTGTACGTATACAACACCAATAACTGTCTAAACCGCCTAGACTTAAAACCCACTGATGTGCTGATTTGACCTAACAGGTAATCAGCATGCCCACTCAAGTCACTGCTGGTATGCTGAATTAATATCAATGTAAAAGTGTACTTCAACATGCCAGATGCATATGGGGCTGGGAAAAGGCACGTACAGATAGATCACATCTCCAACAGCTCTGACAATACATTCCCTGCTATGAAATCTACAGCCGGATAATGGCGCGAGCGTCCCTCAATTAATCAAAGCTGACTCCCCACAAAGGCAAAAGAGCACTCCAGCCTGGGGGAACTTACTGGGATGATGTGCATTTCGCCATGTCGAGTTTGAGTTGGTGACAGTCCTGCTGCCAGGAGGAAGGGTTAGCAGCAACACACCGGCCATATTGCTCAGTTTCTTTGTGGCAGTACCGCAAGGTTACTTCCAGGGCCGCCTGCCTGTTGGGAGGGAGACACGTTTAAAAAAAAAAATCCTGAATGTATACTCTGCCTTTCCATCAGATAACAATAAAAAGATATGCCAAAATGTTTAATATACGTTTAAAGCAGTGTTGTCCAAACTTGGCCACTTTAAGATGAGTGGACTTCAGCTCAATTCTGGGAGTTGAAGTCCACTCATCTTAAAGTGGCCAAGTTTGGATAACACTGCTTTAAAGCATTATGAAAAATACATGAACGTGACTATTTCTAACCGATTTGAACACTATTCAGTAGCTAGCCCAGTTTACCCACCAAAGACCTGCCAGAACACAACTGTTTTCCCCTCCATTGGGACTTCGAGGCTTAATTCTACGGAAAGCATTCAGTCTCTCTCCAGGTGCACACCACAAACTTGCCCTTTGCTGTCCCTGGCTGGTTGCAAACACCTGGTCTCATAACTTGGAAAGTTTAAAAGATAACAAATGTATTATTGCGTAAGTTTTCCTACATCACCGTCCACTGCATGGGTTGTAAAGGTCACCAACTGAGACAGCTTTAAAAGGAGATCCAGCAAGGCTGCTACTTGTGATGACACGCTACCGTCACCTATAACGCAGCAAGTGTCGGAAAGCAGTAGCTAAGGAGTCGCCGTGCGCCGCTCTCCTGGCTTCCGAAACCGACCAGGTTGGCACCTGCGGGGAACAGGTCTCCGGATTATGTGCATATTTGATCTGATCCTGACGGTAATTCTTCTGGATTGAGAATGCGAATTAAACCCCGAGGAAGGAAGAAAAGCGGAGTTTTCCCTTGATCAGATAAAGGGCTTTGGAGCAGAGCTTTAAAGAGGTCACACTCACATGCCGCCCTCGGCTCTGGAAAGACACACTGGCTTCTTCCTTCTTCCCAACACGCATGCTCCCTCCCCAGCACGGGGCCTCTTCTGCGCATGTTTAAACGAGCCGCGGGGGGTGCGGTTTAAATCCAGCGACCAGGACACGAGAGAACGCCCTGCGGTTTCGCGCAAGCGTAGTTGGAACGACGCCATCGCTTCGCGGAGAGCCACGTGTATAGCTCATTCATGCGGGGCGTGAGGCTGAAGCGTTGGCTCGACCGGCGCTGCGAAGAGGCGACGCATGCGCACCTTTACCGCCCAGGCCGCGAGCATGCTCGCTCGGCGCGCTTCATTCGTGCCTACCCCGGAAGTGGAACAGGCGCGACCGAGGCGAGCCGGCGGCGGCTCCCGGAAGAAGGATGGTAGCGGCAACAGCGGAGGCCGGTCCTGGGCCGGGGGACGAGTTGGTGCAGGACGTGATTCCATACCGGCGGCGGTCGCGTCTGCTATGGGGGACCGTGTTGCCCTTCTGCGTGCTCTACCCGCTCTGGCTGTGGTTTTGGGGGGCGAGCGCCTGCGCCTGGGCTTGGGGGGCAGCCGCCGGCACCGAAACCCCCGAGGCCGCGCTGCTTTTCCTCGCCGCCATCGGGGTCGTCCACCTTCTCACGGCCTTAGCCGGCCTGTGGAGCGTCAACGTCCACTGCTTGCTCTACTGCTGTTGGGTCAGTCGCGCGCCGCGGAAGGAGCGGGGGACCCAAAGGCCACGCGGGGGCGGGGGCGTGTTGCCTTCGCCCAGGTTGGCGTGGCTTTCTCTGCCTTGGGCTTCTAAGATCAGGTCGGGGAGGTGGGAAGGAGCAGC